TACATATATGGTAGGTGTTACGATGAATAGAAGTTCAGATATAAGATATCCGTCGGAGCCCTTATCTTATTGGACATCTAATAAGCCCTTGAATTATTGGATCCTATGGATGAGATCCAATAAGAGCCAATGAGAGATTATTAGGTAGAAATTCACTAATCTAAGTGGCTTAGGTAGTTGGATGGAGAATTAGTACCCAATACGACACGATCCATTAGAGTAAGTTTATAGAGACCTCTATAAATAGGAAGGAACTAAAGGGCTATGACTAGACTCATTTTGTATGCCACCTCCTATTCTCCTCTCCCCCTCTTCTCCTCAGCCAGCAACCCCTATTTGGGGCATGTGGATAGCAAGAAGGGCCGACCCCTTGATCCCGTGGTGCATGTGAAGAGAAGGTTTGTGCAGCGATTTGAGGAGTGTCTTTGCAGCTCCTACAGTGTAGATCACCACTAAAGAGAAGGACATATGTCGACCATCTACAGTGAGGAGCCAGGTTGAGACTCACGTCGACTAGCCAATCCTCAGCCATCTTTTGGACTATCTCGAAGGAAGAATATATGTCTCTCAATCAAAGCATTTGATCTGCCTCCTTGTCCGACAAGAAGGGAGTGGTGCTATCAATGCAATATGCCGATAGGCAAAGTTAAATCCTTGGTTTTGACTTGAACTCATGAGGAAAAAATGCTTCATACAACCTTTGTTGTGTTATAAGGGGCATCACTGACCTTGAAACCCTCCCAAGCGGCTAAGTGGTAGCCACTTCTCTCCTTGTACAACTGGAAACAATGGGCAAAGAGGGTGTGGGTCGGAGTAATATCGGCATATCGACATTCTCTGATGAACACTATCAAATAACGCCATGAGATGGGCACTATTTGAGAGGACGATATCTCCCACCATTGGAGGTAGGACAATATCACTGGATGGAGGGGAAGATAGAGTCCCACATCAAGGGCATCATAAGATAAGTAGAAAAACCTAAGAGCAACACCAAAAGGGCACTAATCGGATCGGGGAACTTATAGATCAATCTCAGTCGGGACACAATACCTAGTTTGTAGGTGATCTAGGAGAGGCATGCTTCCTACTGAATCATAGTCATGCGAACTTTGCATAGACTCCAAGTCCCAAAGAACCTTCGAGTTCATGGGAGATGCCTTGATGAAGAGGAGGACCCAACCTTCTTTGCACTTAGACTGTTCGAGGACAGAGCACAAACCTTGACTGACTAGCGACTGGAGGATTGAAAAGAACTTGTACAAGAAAGGAGAGACATCCTAACCTAAGACAGAAGAGTATAATAGATGCTAGGAGGAGGGACTTGAAGACCGACCTACTCTATTGGGAACAGGGGCAAGGCTAAAAGCTCATAAGGCTTTAGGGACTCTGGATGGAAGAATGAATCCTGCCCCACAAGAGAAGAGGGATTTATAAGGAGGATGTCAATCTCTCTCCTCTCGCAATTAAGATGTCGATCTCTCTCCTCTCATGATCGAGACAAGTGTTCCTTCAGGGGCAATTCCCAAGAGACACCGATAACAAGAGGATCCAAAATATGTCATGATAAAGGAAGAACTTTGAAGCTCGCCATGGTAGAAGGAGGACTTAGAGCCTGGGGATGAAAGATTCGAAATCCTCCATGGTGGAGGAAGGAATTTGAAGCTCGTCATGATGAGGAGAGAATCCGAAATCCACCATAGTGAAGGGATGATTTGGAGCCCACCATAGTGGGTGAAAGATTCAAAATCCACTACGATAGAGGTGCAAGATAAAATATGGCCGAGGCATGTAAGTCATGAAAACCCAACCTGTGCCAAAAGGAGTCCGCTATGGCAAAGGTGCAAAGAGAAATATGCCTAAGGTGTGTGAATTGGGAAAACTCCACTCATGCCAAAAGGAATTTGCTATAGCGAAGGCAAAATGTACCCAAGACGATGAGTTAAAAAATTTTGACCTGTGCCAAGAGGAATTTACTATGGATGAGGCATATGGCAAAATGTGCTCGAGACATATAAGTTGAGAATATCAAACCCACGCCAAGAGGAATCTACTATAGCGGAAGTGCAAGATGAAATATACCTGAGGTGTATGAGTTAGAAAAACTCGACCCCCGCCAAGAGAAATCCACTACGACGGAGGTACGAGGCGAAATATGCTCGAGGCGTGTGAATCAGGAAAACTTGACTCATGCTAAAAGGAATCTACTATGATCGAGGCATAGAACAAAATATGCTTGAGGCGTGTGAGACGAAAAAACCTAACCCGCACTAAAGGAAATCCGCTATGATGGAGGTGTAGGGCAAAATGTGCTTGAGGAGTGTGAGTCAGGAAAACTCACCTACACCAAAAGGAATCCGCTACATTAGAGATGCATGACAAAATGTGCCCAACGCGTGTGAGTTAAAAAAACCCGACCCACGCTAAGAGAAATCCATTATGGCATAGGCGCAGAGCAAAATATGCTTGAGGCATGTGAGTCGAGAAAATATGACCAACATCAATGTGTGTCTCCTCCACACTACAAAGGAACATGTTGGTAATAAGCTTGTCGACTGAATTAAACATCACACTCCATACCCTTCTAACAAGAGATATAAAGCATGCCTTTGAGAGGGGATAAATAATAGGAAATATATTAATGGTTAATCATCATCCGACACCTAATTACCATATGGAAACTATCATGGAAGGAAGAGGTCCAAGTCATACTCCACCTGTCTGCCTCCATGGATAGCAATCCTAGGAAGGCTGTTTGAGGTTATCTCTCTCATGTTTCCCATGTGGATAAAACACCAAAACGGGACATTAAGACAGTTATAAGCTATTCCCTCTGATATTTGGTATAAAAGCTAACCCTCAATGCTACGTCAGGGAACTCTCTTAAAAAAAAAAAACTCTTACTCATAAAAGATCTTGGTCACTAATTTGAGCGTCAGAGGGACTAGGTCAAAACAATTTTCTCGACATCAGTCTTAGTGCAGGTAGTGCCCCGAGAGATCGACACCTCTACCTCGGAGCCATCTCGATCACCACTTCAGATGTTCCTATGTTTTTGGGTTCAAACCATATCAGGTCGATTCATACGTCAAGAATGAAATCTTTTAACAGTAGTAATGATAAGTAGTCATGTTATATTTAATTATAAGTAGTAAAGTTATACTATTACATTAGATGTGAACAAGCAATAATACACGATAGCTTACGTATATGGGTGCCATCATCAATCATATATGGGTGTTGTCTCTTGACAAGCTGTTCAAATACATTTTTGAACATTGACCTGAGAAGAGTCATTCTGGTATTAGCCTTAAGGAGAGTCATACTTATCTTATTTATGAACTCTAACACACAAGTTCAAACAGCTCGCTAATGTTGAAAACGAGAACTGACATAACTCATACTAACAGGTAACTAAGAACTCAACTCCTAACACATAAGGGCATAGCCCTTGCTTGTTCCGTCAATTGTTGCAAATCAATAATACTATAGGCTTAGGTCTAATTGGTAGCCTATAATACTCGATATCTAGGCTCAACCCAATGCTTATATATGACCCAAAAGGCCTGATTCGATGGGCTTCGACACATACTCACAGTAGCCCATACCATGATGACACAAGGCCCACAGCGGCCCTATCCGTGACCCACAAAGGCATACTTTAATTACGTTCGGCATAGTACCCAAAATGGCCAGACTTGTGGCCCACATATATGGGCTCCGATTCAAGACTCACAATAGCCTGAACTGGGCCACGATCTTCTTTAAAGGCCCCTACCTAAGGCCCACGACCAATGTGGCCCACCCAAAGGCCCCATAGCCTATTTAGACCATCCTACAGCCCAAAGAGGTGTAGCCAATGACCTAGAATTGAATCATACTTCTCTTTTTTTTCGCATTAAATAATATTTAACAAAATTAAATAATATTAATATTTAGTTATATATATATATATATATATATATATAGAGAGAGAGAGAGAGAGAGAATTCACCAATGCATTGTTTTAATAAATGGACAAGTATATATTTGATCTTGATTACGTAATTTGTGTCAAACCGAGTAAACCGGATAGATCTGATTGGATCTTATGACCATCTCTTCTCCCCCTTTTTTTCTTATTTCACCCTCTCATCCAAAAAACCGGAGGAAGGTCAAGCTCAAGCTCAAGCAAAATTCTGAAGAGACTCAGGGCAAGTTTACCCAGCATGGCTGCCACTGAAATAAAAGTTTTAATGACTGAATCAGAAGAACTACCAAAAGAGCAAGAATGTGGCCATTATAGTTAACAGTCCATATAACTTTCTAGCAATAAAATCTTTCTACATACATCTTGATCATATGTGACGATTCAATTTAGACAGCCAATTGAGTGCTCTAATATGGTAGCAAGAATGTAGACACTCAGAAATTCCTGTTGGGATTGCATAGTAAAAGCTCTATGATAAGGTTGTGCAGGGTGATAAGCCCATAAATAATGGCAACAAAGGTGATTCTAATAAAAAAAAGAAGGGGATTCAAATCATTTGTCTGGCTGTAATAGAAGAAGAATTCATTGTCAAAATTCCTTGTCGAAGAATCAGTTAGAAGATCAAACAGAAGAAGAATTACTAGAAATTCTAGAATATTAGTTGAGGAATTCTAGAATATTGAATTCTTCTTCGTCAAAGAATCAAAATTACTAGAAATTCTTCATCGAAGAATCAGTTTAAGATCGATCACAAGAGTTTATAATGAAACAACAGGTACCTACCAGGAAGTAATGAACCTTTGACACTTGCTGATCCATAAGTCCTTAAAGAAAAGGCTATTCTTAACATTAACATCTCTTACGCGATACATTTTCCGTGGAAATATTGATAATATGAATGATGGTAAGGGAAAACGAATTTCACATCATTTTTCAATGAATCGGTCATATGCTTCACAGTAGAACAAAAAATGAATAATGAAACTGAAGGATGTCTACTACATTATGCGATGTCAGATGAACAGGGAAGTTGAGCCTGAATATACATAATTCAATTCCAGCAAACTTCAGAAAAGAAACCACAAAGATTCAACCACCTCTACATGAAGTAACGAGATACAAGGCATTTGTAAACAACCTACAATAATCTAGAACCTATACTATTGTCCATGGAGCAATTATTTTCAGTCATGGCTCACTAGAAAGCAGGAAAGTTATTTGGTACGTCTTGTGACAAATAAAAAAGTTACTGATCAAATAATTTCAATGAAAGTCAAGTGATCAAAACCTGAAAATTGATGCAGAAAAACAGGCAGGAAAACCTGAATCAGCCGTACTGCTGTCTTAGTATCTTTGCCATCTATAGCTTTCAGCATTTAGCTCCTACGGTAGTTCTCCCTCTTTGATTCACTATATTTCATGATAGCATTACATAAGCTTCAGGACCTATGTTTTAGAAAGCAAGGAAATAATATCTTTCAGAGAAAAGTTTCGTTCTTAGGTTCATCCAACATTGCCACCAAATCCACTTTATTCCGCCGTGGACCATGTATCTGTTGTCCTTAACTCACAACCTCAACAACGTCAACTTCACCATCGCTGTAGTCAGCCCAACACTTTTGCTTATCCGTGGATTTTGCAGCTTCTGGAACTTTACTTGCTGGTAGAACATTTTCAAATGTCGTCTCTGCAGAAGTACTCTGCTCTGTGTTCAGATAAGCATCTTTGCTTTCGTTACACTGCTCAGTGTCTGGATTCTGGTTATCATCCACTGGTTCCTCAAGAACTTTATTGATAGCGTCATTTCCTTCTGCAGGAGCTTCATTACTATGAGAGGCATCTGAGGGAATAGGTGTTGGCGATGCCATCAATCTATCTGGTGGAGCCACTAAACTATCTAATGGCGGAGGGAAACTTCGAGGGGAAAGTGGAATACCATCTGGTGATGCTTGAAAGTCCTTTGGGGACACTGGATGGTTGTTTGGAGTCCAAGGCTGGCCAGGAACAAACTCTGCAGCATTAGGATTCATTATTTTTGGACTGAAACAGCTCCCATCATGAGGAGATAACTCACCATTCTGAAATGGCAGCTTGTTACGGTGACCACGATGACCTGAACGGTTATAACCACCAGCAATCCGTGGACCATAAGGTACTCTGGATGTAGCAGACTGATGGGGATGCTTACGGACAGGAAGGGTCAACATTGGAGGTATATTTACTGGTGGTGGTAAAATTCCTCCATGATCTTTGAAGCTTGGCATTGCAACCGAGCTAAAAACTGGTATTGTTGATGGATTGAATGGAGGTGCAGCTGCTGATAGTTTACTGCTTGGCTCTTTCGCAATTTCACCTGTTTCATTCTTTTTCTCTTTCATTGGCAAGGGCTCGCTTTCACCGCCACTAGACAGCTGTTCCTGCATCTCATCTCCAACATTGCTTGCATCTTCAGTAGAAGCAGTGGTGTCACTTTCTTGCATGGCAGGTGTTCCATCTGAAGCAGATGAACTTGCTTCTGTTTCTTTCTCTGTAAAGCATCCTGATTCTGATATTTCACAAGATTCTTCCACTACAGGAGCTACTTTACCATCTTCAGTAGCTGTATCAGTTATTTCTGATATCTCAGGTCCTGAGAAGGTCATGTTTGCTGCTTCCAAAGTGAACGACTCTTTAGGACTAGAAACAATAGCAGATTCTTTTTCTTCTTTTCGGTCTACTACAATAGAACTATCCAATTCTATAGATGCTTCTGCCACCATAGAATTCATTTTTTCCTGGTTTTTTCCCTCCACCACAGGGCCCTTATGTCCCACAGGAGAAGATGTGTGTTTCTTTTCTTCAATGGTTTCCTGATCCCTCATCTCCTCCCTAGTATCATCTGTAATCTGTTCTCCTACAATTGGAACCATACTAGGTGCTTCCTTGCAAATTTCATTATCCTGGTCATCTGAATGTTTTTCTTTTGTCACTTTATCTTCTGTGACCTTCACAATAGTTCCCGGAGGAGCCAATGCCACTTCTTTGTATGATAAGGTTTTTCTGGTCGATGGACTAGTGATTGAATTTGATGACGAAACTAGCTTGCAAGTTGTAGCTGTGATGGCAGGACTTGCAGATGCCAACTTGTTGCCCAAAGATTTTTCAGTGTCATTTACAGTTGAAGCAGCAACGATGCTTAGTTTCTGGTTGAAGCTAGAACTTTTTACCAACTTCTTAGAAGCGGGACTAGTAGAAGAAGGAAAGATAGCATCAGCTGGTGGTGTTCCTGGGGAAGAGATGCTGGAGGAAGGCCTAACTCGATAGCGTGGACTTTCTACATTGTTTAATGCATTTGTGTTGATTTTGGCCAAACTTGGTCTTCTTGACACAGATTTGCGGCTTGACAGAGATCGTCCCTTGGGGACAGCTTCTTGCCATCCTTCTTCAGCTGTGTCTTCCTCGATGATATCATCCTCTAGATTTGTCTTGGAGACATGAATGACAGTGATATTGGGCTTCTCATCTTTAGGCTCCATGGGCTGTATGTAGGAGTTGTTCTCCTTATCATTAGTCTCCCTCCATGGGTAATCCTGTTTTGGTGTGTCAACCTTCTCATCCTCTATTTCAAAAGTTTCTGATTGGTTCTGACCATTTCTGCCTTTTATCTGTGAAGCAAAAACGAAACATAGTAAAACCACGCTTAGAAAGAGAGTCGGTGATTCTTCCTTCTGACCAAACAAAACTAAATCAATACCTTTGCACGAGCTTGTTTCTTTAGAATTTCTCTTGCTTTGAGCTCCGCATCCGGGTTGATATAATCCAAAAGGTCTGATACACTATTTAAGTAAAAAAAGTTCAACAGAAATTAGACCCATTGCAGAGACAAGAACAGGATTGTACAGAAAGAAACAAATAAGTCTGAAGCTTTTGTAGAAAATTATTCATAAGCATGTCTCAGTTGAATTATTAGTACCCAAGTTCCTAACTGCAAGAATAAGCTTTATCAAAAATTTCTCAAATGAAAAGATAATCACTAGTGTTATTTACATGGATGAATTTCTTTAACTAATCCTATGTATGATGGTTTGTTATGCTATCACTACTAATATTGATTTTACCTCAAATGACCTTTGCTGGCGATGGAAGCATCGGGTTTTGGGGTACCATTTCGTGCAGCTTCCTGTTGCTCGAGAGCCTTGGACTCAAAATACTCAAGCCATGCAGCAGCATCCTGTATTACATGATGTTCAAAAGAACTTGATAGTGCTTAAATATCTGAATAGAATGAGACTGTCAACCAAGAGTCTAAGTCATAAACCGTACTTTTAAGGCATGAATACCTGTGTTCGGAGATCTTCTGATCCAAGCTTTGCTTGAAGTATGCGGAGAGTTGTTTGTTCATGCTGGACACTTAGAGAATAAGCTTCCATCAAAGACAGAGCAATGGCAATAGCATGATAACTGGCTGCAGTCTGTAAATTGAAATTTTGTTTCTTATGAGCCAGTAGCAAGCAATCTCAATTTATGCATCTACATTAACTAAATCAAGTTAGAAGAATGTAATGAAGTATCTCCTATAGTGCAGCACTGCACCTTTATAACTATGATGTTCAAGAGAGAGGACAAGAAGAAGAATGAAGGTGGATCAGTATAAGAACCTGTATATGATCAGCTCCAAGAAGTCTTTGGTTGCACTTTAGTGCCTCATGCAGGTACCTTAGAGCAACATGCACATTACCCAAGCCTTCTTCCATCATTGCCACATTGATGTATGTGGCAGCAGTGTTAGGATGTGAAGGGCCACAAGTCAGGTGTAATAGGTACAAAGCACGGTTAACATACCTGTCACAGTTGAAACTTGAAACAGTTATTATATTATTCCTATTTGAAATCTAAAACAGAACATAAGAAGTGACACTAAAAAGAAAATAAAAAAGGAAAGATCAGTCTATTCCACAGATCACACAGTGGATGTATTCACATGAAGATTTTATGCTGTTTATAATGCCCTAATGAGTAAGTTGGTCTGGCTGACTAGTGAAATTAATAGTTTGGGATCGAACTTTAGGCCATGTTGTTAAGGCTTCTCTGTATGACTTGTTTGCCGGTAGGTCATTTCTGTAATCTGCACTAAAAATGTTTAGAAAGTTACAATTAAACTTCACAAAATTGCCAGAGCTAGGGCGCTATTGTTTCTAAGCATGATTTGATTCTTTTAGCTATCTTGAAGTGGAGTGCATTCAAATAGATTCAAGGGCTTAATTTCAATCTTTGCTTCTTCCTTGGGTCATTAGCTATTTTAGGTATTATGCACTATTTATATGACAATGTCTTTCCTATATAGCAAGATTTGTCATCTTGTATCGACCAAGCATATGGGTCCCTAGCCAAACCAGTACGTATCAGTCGCACCGGTGTACAACAATATACCGATGCATACTCACACACTGAAATTTTGATAGAAAAATCAGCTGAAATTGACAAAAGCCTTATTTCAGGAATTTTTCTCTTAATTTCTTGGTATATAAATTAGAATTAAATAAAAATAAAGTATATCTAAGCCATAAATGAATAGAAATTCCAGGTTATAAGGATCAAAAATTGAAATTCTTATATTCATCGAGGAAGAACTTTATCGCACAATCCTCCATCAAAGAAAGTTGCTTAACTTGATTCCATTGATCTTGAGTTGGAATTCCCTCGAATTGAACTACTTTAATTGAAGGCATTCCACAAAATCTTGAGTTTGAATTCCCTCTTTTATCCAAATTAACCTCCATTGATCATCGATTAGGGAGATTACCATGTTTAATGAGAATGGGAAAGAGTGAGAATGAGAATGAAAGAGGGCTATGGAGGGGCTTGTATAACCCAAAATAGAAATTGGACATCGGGGCTGAAATAGTCAATTTTGAGCCGATACCGGTCGAAACCCGATCATCACCGACTGATACCAATTGGTGGCAGTGATTGAAAGAGGCGCTCGGGCGCTCGCCTAGGCGCTCGGGCGAGGCGAGGCGAGGCCCGAGCGCCTCGCTAATGTCCCAGGCGGCACACTTCAAACAAGCGCCGCCTGGGCGCTCGCCCGAGCCCAGGCGCTGGGCGCTTCGGGCGAGCGCCTGGGTAAACCAAGTGACCGAACCAGGATTTTAGGTCTGGTTCGGTCCTAGTTCGGTTGTTAGTTGGTTCAATCAAACCAACTAAACCGATATAACCCTTACCCAACCCTAACCCGCTGCCGCTGCCGCTCCCGATCTCGCTGCTCGTCGCTCCTGCTCCCGC